TAGCGGTGTGTCTAAGGAGTCAGTACGTAGCGTTTCTTCATCCGATCGTAATTCCGTGTTGCTTGGATCCTTTCCCCACCCCGACTCCTCAAGGCAGACGAGAGGCTGTGTGTTTAAGGATGGATTTTGGTTAAACATGCCGACCAGTTTTCGCCAACTACTTGCACTCCAGTCAGTTTCCCGAATTCTTTTCAGCCTCTGTCTGGAAAAAGAGGTCATGTCAAATTCTTCTGACCGTACCTACTGTTTCAGTACTCCTTTAAATTTACTATCCACGCTGCTTAAGGGAGGGAAAACGTGATGCATTTATCTACCCTGCTTTTCTGTTCTGTTCACCACCCTGACGGCTATTATGTAGTGCACAGTTTTACTCAGATTTTGACATCCTATTGCAGTGTAATCTGGATTAACAGCTAGATTAATTTTGTCGTAAATGCGCTGATTAATTAATACCGTTTCTCGGCCAGCGTCCCTTTTTCACTTATAATTCTAGTTAGTGTCCTTTCTTTGCAGAAAACAGACGATGTGATGCTGTCTCATGTTTTCTTGAGAAAGGTTCAAATTTTTTTATACGGATCTGTAGTTCGAGCGTCTATCTCGAAAGTTAGTTATTCTTAAAGGCATGCTCGGTTCTTTCAATTCGCGATCGCCATTGTTGCGTTTCACCTTTGATGAAGACTAAGTGGAAATTACTTATTTTGTCCGTTGCTGTTTAAGTGTTTTTCCAGACGTTTTGCGTTAGTTATGTTGGAGTGTCGATTAAGAGACGCTAAGGCAGTTTGTCAGCTCTTTAAAAAAAAAATCCGTTTTCTCAACCGTTTGAGTTCTGTTCACCAATAGATTATTCTAAAGGTTTTGTCGTTGATTAGAAAAGAGTGCCTACACATTAGTTCTTATTACCGTTTTTGTTTCATTTAAACGCGTTTGTGCGGTTTCTCAACATCATTCAGACATGATGCGCGACGTTTGCTAAACGAGAGTCTCGTATTCGTTCTTCTAGTGATTTGCCGTCTAACGGTTTTAGAAATGGCGTTTAAAATAGCTCACTTTTTCATAGCTACTGAAGCTGCTTGCAAAAGAAACCGCGATTTTGAGTATAAATGCATTGCACTAACTTCCTTTTTTGTTTTCGCCAATTTAATGACGAATGGCGATGAGTTTTTTATTCCAGTTTGTTTTTATTCATCTTTGGGTTTTTGTTTGCGTTCGACGTTTTGTCGTGTATCAATAGAATCAGCGTTTGAACGACCGTCTTTCTAGCGACAACAGGCTTCGCGTGAAGAGAGCGAAGCATTTGAAGATCAAGTGAAATCCATGCTGCGTCGTTGTCAGTTGGCACGACAAAGCACCGTTCTCTGCAATACCGATATTAACGCGAATGTCGAACAGTAAGCCGTGGACGATGGATGATCTGGATGGACGATGATGATGAGGTGTGGCGAATGCAGAAAGTTCCGATTTTAGGCGTTGGTTTGCTTTGTGATGTAAAGTTGTCGCTGCAGATCTTTGTTTTATCAGTTTTTCTCTTATACTTCTTCCGCTCGTATTCAGTCATACTTATTTTTTCTATTTTCATTGTGTTAAAAACTTTTTGAACACGAAGCGTGGTTTCTGTTTGTTGTTATAGTTGTAATTGAAACGTTTGAACAAACCGATGGGCAGGAATTCCCAGTTTTATGCCGGATTTAGACGATTATGATGATTAGTACAAACGATTGCTGAACGTACAGGATACTTTTGTTGGCTGAAAGACGTTTTAGAATTATGCTCGCATAATATGAATTTGTGCGCAACTGCCATACGATTAAGCAATTGTTATATTTTACGTGCTACTAATATTCACGTGCTACTTTCAAACTTTGTTGTAACTTTAGCAGTATTGATCCAAGGAAACATTCTGTACATATGCTGCTGATATGCTGGTATGACCTCCGAATGGTATTAAGAAATAAACGCTTATAGTCGAAGTGTCCTTGTTTTAAGTCTGCCAAGATCAAAACTGAATTTATCAGCTTCGAAAAGCAGGTCTTTCTCGTCATTCAGATAATCACGCGCCAGCAAAACTGTTAGCTATGAACGGTTTGAATTTAGCTAGGCGGTAAACGCCATTGCAGACGTTCGTTCTCCCGTTTCATTTCTAGCTGAGGTTCTGCGATGTTCTGAATTTCTGTACTGCGCTTGACTGCGAGTAACAGCCGAAGGTGTGGCCTGATTTTGAAAATTGTTTCTTGACGAAAATCGTTTATTGCCATTGTGAAAAGCGATAAATTTCCTAGTAAACTGGAAATGCCGGCCTAAAGTGACCGGGTGGTCTGGATTTTTCAAGCTGCATACTTGGTAACGACCCTTGTCAAGATGAAAAGTTGTGGCAAGTGTGCCTGATGTTGCACCTATCATTATCATTCCATGGTTCCAGACGACAAACAAAACGGACGATGTAAATTCTTTTCATATTCGACGCGTTTCGACACCGCACATTGGCATCTTCATCGGTATTAGATGTTTGGATCATCGACTTGGAGCAGCATGTTCGGTTACCGACTAACTGGCAAGGTGACAAATGCTGAGTTACTCGCGGATGTCCGAAAAAACATTCTACAATTACACCGAACACAGACATGTCAACTTTCTCTGATCAAATGTCGAAACGAATTTTTCGACGTATGCCACCCACTACCAGGGCACGATAAGCAGTCCTCAACAACTGACCAAGCCAGGCTGAAATGCTATAGTCGGAAATTATCAGGAATAACGGATTTGCCGAAAAATTGCAAAGTAAGCCTGACGTAACGATTGGTCGACGATCGTTAAGGATGTTACGTCCTCAT